TATAAATAACTACAGAGGAAAAATGGTTTTAAACAAAAGGAGATATTCAGTCAAAACAAATGGTGCTTTCACAACAAAAGGACAATACTCACCAAGATTTAGTGAAGTAACGATGCAAAACTCTCAGTCAACATATATAAAAGGAAATGTACTATGAGGTCAATAGATCAGTGGATATGTTGTGAGTCAAATAAGCTTAAATATCTTCCAATTTATATATCAAGAATATCTCAGAAATTAAATATTAATTGGAAACTGAGCCCAGCTCTCTATCATTAACTTATAAAGAATGACTAGGCCCATGAAACTTAGCTAGGCCAACATATAGCTGCAATGCGCTTTGAAAAATTAGTTACTGAAAAAGGTAGCAAACAATACTAGTGAAACATTGTTGAAAAAAGCCAAACTAAGAAATATGAAAAAAGTAAAGCTGACGATGTGGAAGTAGACAGTAAACTAAGAAACTGCTAAAGGAAAGCATTAAACACTATGACAGCCAATAGCTGTTAATACTTGATAGAGTACAAGAGAGTATAGAAAAGGTGAGGTATTACACAAAAGGCAGGGGCAGGTGTTAATACCACAATGCTTAAACGTACTTAACTTTTTAACGTATAAATCTAATTATTTGTAATTACAGAATTAACACTTACTGAACAACTGTTTACATCAAACATTTAAAAATGACTGTTGAATGATTTTTTCTTTTTTGCTTATGTGGTGCTGAGGAATCAAACCCAGGGCCTCATGCATACAAGGCAAGCGCTCTACCACTGAGCCACCTTCCCAGCCCCTGTTGAATGATTTTTTAAAAACTGATTATCTCATTTTACAGAGAAAGAAACTCAAGTTCAGATAGGTTAACTTGCAAAAATTACTACTCCCCATCAGCCAACATAACCACTAGTCAACTGATGAGCTTAGTCTGTCTATATAATCCACATGCTTTCCATTCAACATGCTATCACATTTGATACATTTCAAAAGGAAGACAGAAGAACCTTGTCTTCTTAAAGCAAATGGGTAACGTAGCAAGAAGAAAAAATAAAAGGGAAAATAGATTGAGAAAGATCATATAGTGATAAAAATTAATAATTAACTCAGGAAAATGGAAATGTTCAGCCCTATTTCCTTCACTCTCAGTGAAGGGATGACATGATAGGGCAAAAACAATCAGTAAAGAGAAAGCAGCAGAGCAGAAAGGAGAATAGTAAGATGCATGGCTCAGTATGCAGAGAAACAATCACAAAAGTACATTTGTAAATCTGGAGTTTAGAACAGACTGTTTCTTATTAGTACAGAACAGATTTCTGTGTCAACAGATTATATATTTATAAATATATTATATATACATATACATATACATATATATATATATAAAATGGAATTCTATGCTTTCATGAGAAAGAATGACACCGCCCTATTTGTTAGGAAATGGAAAGACAGAAAGAAATCATATTAAGTGATGTAAGCCAGACCCAAAGAAATATAGGTCCCATGGTTTCCCTTATTTGTAACAGTTAATATATATCTAGAATAATCTTATCAGATGAGCAGAAAAGCTCAAAAGCTATGTACATATGACCATATAAGATGATACTAAGTGTAATGAACCCCAAGATATAGGGACAAATGGTTTTTCTTTGTCGCTGTTGTTTTTAATGTACTATGTGAATTTTTTTGTTTGTTTCTTTTGTCTGTTTTTCCCCCTATGGTATATCCCTTGTTGTTACTGTTCTTGATTTTGGTACCCTACAACTTGTTTACACATTTATCTAATTTGGGGAGGGAAAAGGGAATAATAAAATGCTGAAACAAGGACACAGGATGACCCATTGCAACAATGATACTCACAAGACACTATGTTAGAAACAAACTTCACAACTTCTCAGGGAGAGGGGGAAGTAAGGGGTAGTGGAGAAGGGAAGGGATAGTAGGAGAAAAAAAAAAAGGAGGGGGTGACAATGTTAGACAAGAATTGTACTCATTACCTTACTCATGTAACTATAACTCCTCTGTACAGCATCTTTACAATAAAATTAAATTAAAAGAAAAATAACAGAATTCTTTAGGTAGTTTGCTTTACCCAGCCAGGTAGGCACCTGGATCTCCAATTTCCAGTGAACAGGAAATCTGTGGTTTACAAAGCAAAAAAGGCTCTTCCCCATAGATTTTGGTTCACAAGCATCTGGTGAGAAGGTTTGAATACATACACATATAACATATATAAATGAAAAGTCCCTATGGGATGATTGTGATGGTCTTCATAAAGATAAATTAGAAATGACTTAGAAAGTGGTTATATCACTACTTCTGCACTGTACTGGCTAAACAATTCTCAAATTTATGTTTCCTTAAATATAAATTGAGGAAAATAGGTTTAGTTTTGACTTCTAAGGGTAGAACCCCTCAGTATAATGTACATGTAATGAAAGGTAATGAAAGTAACACTTCTTTCTAGTAGCATAGAAAGGTTCCTAAATTATCTTTTATAAAATTTATGATTTTATAAGCTATTACTGATTCATGATTGGTTTCAGAAAAGTAAATTATTTCTGTATTCTCTAAATAAGTATGCAATTTGAATTTGTTCCATTCCCAAATGTGTCTACTTTGATTTATTCCTGAATGTGTCTACTTTGATTACTTGACTAATGTGTCAGCTTCTACATTGAAACTGACTCTTTACCATTTGTAGTTAGTAGATATTTTGTGGGAAGGTTCAAATTATTCATTTCTAACTACTTATAACTGAAAAGACTGTTTCCTGTCTTCTTTAAAGGATTATAGACATAAAATAATTAAAACTGTGAAGTATGTAATAGCAGAAGTAAAATTCTAAGGCTTCTATAAGACTATTAGAAGGAACAAATAAACTTAGTAAAGTCATAAGATATAGGTTAATAAATAAAAATCACCTGTATTTTTTATACTAGCAGCAGGGAACAGAAAAATCACAAACATTACTATTTTTAAGAGTTAAAACAGTTAGGTACCAGTGGCTCATATCTGTAATCCTAGCTACTAAGGGGACTGCGATCTGAAGACTGTACTGAAAAATGTACTGAATGTACTGAAAAAGTCCAAGAGATTCTTATCTGCAATTAACCAGTCTGCTACCCAGGCTTCGTATAAAGCTACTGTGATGAAGACAGTAAGGCATTAGGGAAAGGACAGATTAAAGACCAAATTAAAAGAATGCAGAAATAGACCCACGTGAATATGGTCAAATATCAAGTGATGCCAAATGATTCATGAAAAAAGACAGCATTTTAACAAAGGGTACTAGAAAACAGCAACAGCAACCACACACAAAATTAACTTGAAGTGAATCATAAACTTCAATGAAAATATTTAATACTTCCAGAAAACAAGAAAATTTGGTATGACCCTGAGTAAAGTACAGCTTTTGTAGATAAAATATCTTTTGTTTTAGCTATCTTTTGTTTTACTTTGTATTCAGGGCCTTTGCTTGCTAGGCTGGGGTACTACTGCTGAGCATACCTCTAGCCCTGCTTTTCACTTGTTATTTTTAGAAGAAGGTCTCACTTCTATTCTGGGTACAACTGAATCACTACCCACCTACTTTTTGTCATCCAAAATCTTTCTGTTGTACTTGGGATCCCAGGCATATCCCATATCCCAAAAGGATATGAGGATTCTAATAATATAAACAGGGTATAACTAGTGGCTCAAGTGACAGAGCACCAGTGTGAAACCTTGAGTTCAAACCCCAGTATTGCTACTCCTCCCGCCCAAATATTACAAATATATAGACAACTGTTGTAAGGTAAAAAATACACCCAAAAATTCTAGTCAGGTTCATGGGAGAGATTAGGAATCCATTCAAATGTATTATAAAAAGAACTATTGTTGTAGAGAATTTTCTCTGTACAATCTATTTTGGTCTTAGGAGTTTCAACTGTACTACAGCTGCCAAGGTAAGTTTGAAAAGGATGAATGGACAGGCAGTATAGCTATGCTCCAGTGCTCTGTCACTACTTTAGCTTCTCTCCCCTTTCCATCAATTATGGACTGACTGTGGAAACCATTTGCTAATCCTAAAGCTTTGAGATAAGGAAGGTAGTTACCAGTAAATGAAGAGAGACATAAGCTATTCAATTTAATCTTTTTTTTTTCAAACTAGGGTATGAACTCAGAGCCTTATGCTTGTTAGGCAAGCACTCTACCACTTGAGCTATATACATCCAGCCCTTCAATTCAGTTTTAATAATTGAAGTCAACTACCACATATGCTCCTATAGCTACGATCCAGAAGCTGTGGAGCTCCCTGAAATGGTATAAAACATTAATCCTTGCTCTTGAGGACAACATTTGTTCAAGCAAAAGGCTTGTAAAACACCATTTCACTTGGAGTAAATGCAATGCTTTCAAGAAACATGAGACATTTTAAAAAAGGGGGGGGGGGGAGAGGGCTTCCAAATTTACTAGGTTGTGGTGCTCTAAACCTTATTAGAAACCAAATAATCACTATTTAAATGGTATCATTAAATTTCTCAGAAGCCAGGTTTACTTAGAAGTTATGACAATCTGACAACAAAGTGAATAATGTCCAACTTAATATGAAATATGCTACTGGGGAAAAATAAAACAAATGACATGAGTATTAAAAGTGAAAAGTCATTTCTTTTAGATTTCTTATTTGAATATCAAAAAGCTTCTAAAGCTTAGTCCTTATGTTATTTTCAAAATCCTTTATAACTAAAGTCTTCTTGAAAGTTCCATGAAAGGATTTTAAAAATGAAATTCTTTACAACAAAGTGTTCTTGAAAATACCATTAGCTTGCCATCCTACATCTTATATAATGTTCCACTCTCAACAATATAGTAAATGAATGTTTTAAAGCCTCTTCTAATGGAAGCATCTTTCATCTCTATTGTGAACTTTCTCAGCCATGAATAGTTTATTTGAAATTCAAAGGTTCATTTGGTTCTGCCAGACTGAAATTACATTAATAAAACTAAAATTTTATACTCACCCGATCCTCCTTTTGCCAAGTATTTGTTCTTTGCATAAAGAACAGAATCTAACATAGACTCAAAAAGAAGAAAATAGCCCTGCATAAAAACAGAAAAAAAGGATTTAAAAAATGTACAACATTCTTATGAGCAGATCAATTTAAATATTTGAAATTACTCCTTTAACAACACAGAAATATTTGTCTCTGTCTGCAAAGTCATTAATTTTTTTTCCAGTAAATTCTTCATCTAATAATGACTAAAAAATCGTGCCTAGGTAGGCAGTGGACCCAGTACATTATCCTGAGTCTTCTTACCCATGGTTCCACTTTCCACAAGATTGTTTCTGCATCACTGCAAGTAAAATTTCAGATGACAACTGATAAACTCTCTTATTCTCTGCGATGTTGCAATATTTGTCTATAGCAGTGGTTAGATCCTACCTTTGAGGGAACATGTAATAATGTTGGATATTTTTCACTGTTACAACTGAGCCTGGGAGCTGGTGGGTGCTACTAACATCACTGGGTAAGCCATGGGAGCTGCTGAACAGCACACAACACACAGAGCAGCCCACACAAAAGCCACCTGGCCCAAAATGTCGATGATTAAGGTTGAGAAACCCTAGTCTGGAGTACCAACTCCCAAAGTGTTTCCTGTCTAGTAAACTTCCCTTTGATTAAACAAGGGGAAGGGTATCCTTACACAGATGCTATATGCATCTAGTGTCAAAATATATGAGATGTCAGATTCCATCTTAGGTTCGTAAAAATGGTAAACAGACTTGTTGAAACATATTTTAACTAGGTATTAGCCTTTTTTTTTCCTGTCATGGGGCCTGAACCCTGGGCCTGGGCACTCTCCCTTCAGCTAAGGGAGTAGTAGCACCCTACCACTTGAGCCAGAGCACCACTTCCAGCTTTTTCTGCTTATGTGGTGCTGAAGAATCGAACCCAGGGCCTCATGAAGGTGAGGCAAGCACTCTACCACTGAGCCACCTTCCCAGCTCCCCGTCTTTTTTGACTACAGACTTGTTATTTAACAACTATGGAAACCTTATAGACTTAGTATTGCTTGAAATAAGAGTTCATTGAACATGCAAAAGCACAACAACACAGATTTGTCATCTGTATTTTAGAATATGGCAATGAATCCTCTTTTGAGAAAAGACAATAATAATCACAGTACAAATGGAAATCTTCACAAGAGATTAAATGTAAGAAAATGCAGTTCTTATGTATGAATCACTTACACAGAAACAGGATTAGACTGTGGCTAGTGGACTAGGGCATAACTCAACTGAGTTCCTCAACTCACTCAGTACTGCATCTCCATCCACCCAAATTACTGCCACTATAACTAACCAGACTTACTTCTCAACAAACAAATTCACTGATAGGAAAAGTAAACACCAGCAAAATCTTAGCAAGCAAAAAATCCTTATCTTAAGGATTTGAAGCAAACTGTCTTTTTTTTTTTTTTTTGGGGGTCAGTTGTGGGACTTGAACGCTGGGCTTGGGAGCTGTCCTTGCATTTTTCAGCTCAAGGCGAGCACTCTACCACTTGAGCCACAGAGCCACTTCCGGTTTTTTCTATCAGCCTCCTGAGTAGCTAGGATTACAGGTGTGAGCCACTAGCACCTGGCTTCAAACTGTCTTTCTTGATAGAAGACTTCAGTAGTTTGTAAAGTTTTAAAAGTTGGTTCTCCACTAATATGACCTACATACTCAGAGAACACAGGATTTACAGAATTCACCAACAATAAAAATAATTTTTTTAACCAATCTGAATTCATGCAGATCGATGCACACAAACAATTATAAATAGGCAGTTACTTATCCATTAATGTCAACTATAATTCATGAAATAATTTTTTTAAAAAATGAGGCACGTGTGTAATCTTAGCTACTTGAATCCTCCAATAGGTGATCTTGGTTCCAGGCTAGTCCATGCAGAGACGTCCATGAGCCCTTCCCCTGAGGCTGCCATAGCCCATAGCTGGGCCAAGAGATACTATGAGAAACTGTATCGTTTTTAATGATACAACCATAGATGCTATGCTACATTATTTAAGACTTGACCCAAGCATGATAATCATCACATGCCTGTAATCCAAGAACTTGAGAAGCTGAGCCAAGAGATAAAGAATTTGAGGTAAATCTGGGCTACATAGTCAGAGTGTGTCAAAATAACAGTCCAACAAAAAAACACAAATAAATATGTAAAACTCAAAGGACCCAATTTTGTGGATCATTCATTTCACTCGGTATTTAGATACTTGTTCAACTGTTAACCATCAAACAGGGGACTTCTATGATGTCAACATACAAAATGTCTTCTTTTTCCTTGATTGAGGTCCATATTTCTTTGTCTATTTCATAGATCACTTACAAATTAAAATACTTCACTTTCTCTCTCTACTAAAACAGAGGCTCCCAGAAGTATAAAGATTTGAGCCATATTGTCAGAGGCTACATTCCTAAGATTGGAGATGTGCCAGCTACACAGGAGGAATGCAGTAAGAAATTTCTAAATAAATGAATGCAGAAGTCAGTGTTATGGGTGCATACAGTTTTTGCATTTAACTGATGAGGAAACTTGGCTTAGAAGCATTAAAAGACAAAAAGTAGTTTATATTTACACAACAGGGAGTGAATCAAACAGAATCTGAACCTGGTCTAAGTAATGCAGGGTAAGTTCTGAATTACTATTCTTTGTTGATTCTTAAATAGACTACACTGGTAATTTAGGACACAAGTGTTCCAAAATGAAAAATTAATCATAAACAATATCAAACAAGATTAGAATTTACAAATAAAGTAACATCTTAGCTGACATCTTAGCTGGTAACTGGCTCTTAACCACCATCTATTATGTAAAAAAATTAGTATGGAAAAATCCCAATCTTATACTGACACATATGAAGAACTAATATAAGGCATTATCAGATAAAATTAAAATTAATTTATCCAGTTTAAGATATAGCAGATGTGAGATTCCTATATAATCATATATATTGCGAACAACTATTGTCCTTTCTCTCAACTTTCCAGTTTGCTAAACTTCATTTTACTAAAGGCTCCCTATGTGACTAAACAGCTTTTAATTTCTGGGAATTGTCCTTGGTTCTGAACCAAGTCATTTATTACTGCTATCAAAGCTTTGCTCCAAATGTCCAGCTCATCTACAGTGTAATTCAGACTGCAATTTCACAGGCTGCTGACTTACCTGTAGGGGTGCCATCTGGAAGGAGAATTACACCTGATACTTTCTCCTATGATGCTCATGGGGCATACTTCTTTCAAAACTGACATTTACTCTTAAAAATTGAATACGACATTTAGCTTAAAAAATAAAGAACTGCAAAAAAAATATGGACTTAAACCAGAAGTTAGATATTAACCATATTCATGGAAATGGAAGCCTTATTCTTAAAATGTCTGCTCATATCTGTACATCTCTAACTTTTTTTAGTTCAAATAAATAAATTATTGAAATATTCCTAGGCAAAATTTTAACTATTAAAAAATATTCAAGAGAGTTACAAATAAAGAGAATTTGGAAAAAGATTGGTGACAAATAGCCAATGATCTGAAATTAAAGACAAAATAAAAAATTACATCAAATGACACAAACTTACAAAATCTAATTCCAATCCAAAAGAATTCATGGATATGATATGCACAAAAAAAACCAATAAATTTGATCACATTACAACCTTAAACCTAAGCATATCAAAAGGTATAAAACGTACCAGAAGATATGTCAGAGTTTGAAAAGACTGGCTACACATATACACATATATTTTTGTCTCTAAACAAAGAACACTAGTCATTTCAAAGAGTATCCAACACAAAAGAATATTGGCCAAACAATTATATACACTTCTTTCACAAAAGAAAAAATACAAACAGCAAATAATCCCATGAGAAGCTAAATTTCGTTAGTACTTCAAACAAACTAAAAACCATTTAACTACTACCAGATACTTAGTATGAACGAATAAAAAAATTCACCTCTTTGGAAAAGTTGGCATTATTTACTAACACTGAAGTTCAGCATACCTGGAGAGAAAGCAACTCTGTTCCTACTTATACACCCAGAAATGCAGAGTTAAATGTGACTATATGTATAAATAAGTATATATAAAAGCAGTATTATATGTCATTGTATAAATTGAGAATGATATAGTGTCCATTATCTGTAGAATGAAAACCCATACTGTATGGCATTCTCAAAACTGTACCTACAGAAATAAACATAAATGCTCTTTACAAGGCAGGATTAGTGAATGCCACAAACATGATTGAGTGAAGAAAGCAGAATCCTACTTTTTTTTTTGTCCGGTCGTGGGCCTGAACTCTGGGCCTGGGTGCTGTCCTTCAGCTCTTCAGCTCAAGGCTAACGCTCTACCACTTGAGCCACAGCGCCACTTCCGGCTTTTTTCTTTTTGCTTATGTGGTGCTGAGGAATCGAACCCAGGGCCCCAGGCATGCAAAGCAAGCGCTCTACCACTGAGCCACCTTTCCAGCCCCAAAATCCTACTTTTTAATACAAAAATGATACATTTTTGTTCAACTTATGTAAATGTCAAAAACCCAGGCAATAAAAACAGGTGACTATTGAGGGATGTAAATGTAAGTGCTAAAACCATAAAATTAAGGAAATGATTATCATACAGGTCAGAAAACCACTATCTATGGTGGAAGAAGGGAGCCATAACAGAAATACATGGATAGCTTTGTTCTTGCTCTGATTTCACTGATAATTACATAGGTCTTTTTAAAATTATTATATGACTACTGGTTACACCGTACCTTTAAGTTTATATAATTTTCTGTGTAGAGCTCACAACTTCAAAGGTAATAAAAGGAGGATTTATATGAATAGTGTATATAAAATGCAATATGGATAGAAGCAAAAAGATAATCTCATTCATTTCTAAAGGCTCACAATGTATGGAATAGTACACAATAAAGAAGAAAAATGTTTGCATGTGAGGTAGAGAATATGAAACCAGGATATAAGTAAGTGGGGGAGAGGCTAATTCTTCACTATAAATTCTGTCATCTTTTAAATTTCATGTTATAGTTATGTAT